AAAATAAAGAAATCTGTAATGGAACTCTTTGGACTCCAGAGGATTTACTGAACTTTGGGATTGAGTGTGCAGACTCTGACAGATTGATTAGAACTAGGCATAATGTATTTATTAACAGCCCGCTAGCCTGCTCATCAGAAGAAAGGACTCCCAGATTAACAGGAACAAAGCAAACAAACCAATTGGGAGTCCAGAGGTTTAGATAAGAGATGAGAATGACGCAAACTCAAAGGTTAGTCCTAAAACATTATAAATCTTATGAGGACCAGAATGAGTGAAATCAGCTCAGGAGGAATTGAGCTGTGAGCCACCCATATCCAAGATTATTGCGTGGGGGGGGGGGGGTGCCTAGGAAGGGGCTGGAAACTATAGAATATTGCCAGTTCACTGGTGTTATGCCAATTGTCAAACAGCTTTATGAAAAAGATGGTTTCATTTCCCAGCCTAATTTAAAGAGGGGGTTCTTTAAATTAGGCCAGGTCTCAAGTCCTGACCGAAGTGCCTGCTCCTCCATCAGCTCTCCCTTCCTGAAGGTCGCTGCCCAGGGCCCCCCTCCGGGCAGCTTTTCTCTTGGAAAGGCAGGGAGAGGCCCTGGCACGGAAGAAGGGGGCCAGTCCCCATCCGTAAAGCACATATTTTGGGGAGCCGCATCTCAGTTCAAGAGCCGGTCTGATGAAAAGCTAAAAGTATTTGTGCCAGCCTTCTCAAAAGTGTGTTTTCATTACTAATGAGCTGTTTTTAAAATTTCAGAAGATACCTGAAGCTGTTGATCTCTGAACATGTTTGGATGTGGTGCAGTGAGGACATCGTCTGCCAGCTGTACTTGGCTGTCAATATTTACCGGAGTTGTAGCTTTGCTGCATAAATATTTATTAAAGATCTCCTGAGCCCTGAACGAAAGCTGCAAAGCAACAAGTCCTGATATTAGCTTTGAAAAGGCAACACAGAATTATGGAAGCCATGTGAGAATGTACAATGAAATTAAGATTCCATACCTCGGTCAGTTAAATGTGTTCATTTCCATTACGCATACATTTGAAAGGGGAAATTCATATAACCTTTTGAAAGACAGCTCTGCGCCAGGTGTGGAATAAATGCTAGAGCAGGGTTTCTCAACCTTGGCCACTGTAAGAGGTGTGGACTTCAACTCCCAGAATTCCCCAGCCAGCACGCCAGTCGGCAAAACACTGATTCAGAGGGAGCTCAGTAAGGAGGGGTCTCCTTCAGAGATTGGAAGCGTTCTTTCGAGACTGAGTTGCTCTTGACGAGATAAGCTGTCCCCTGACTTGCCCACCGTCTCTGGATCTCCCTTCCATTCCTCCCCACAATCCCCTGCACACTTAAACAACAGCAGAGGCTTCTGAAGAAAATCCTCTTGTAGTGCTGCTTGTGTAGAGAGGAGCAGACCAGGTCCAGGGGCGAAGGGGAGGCCTGCTCTTCACTGCACACTGTTATCCACGTCCGCACTGGTCGCTCAGAGGCGGAAGGGCAGCAGAAGAGTGCGCCAGCTCCCATGCTGGCCTCTACGCATGCAGACCTCCGACCCATTTCAGAACTCTCAGTCCTGAGGAGGGGTGCCTGCCCAGTTCCTGCAATGTGTACCCTGCCCTGCACCACCCCCTCTCTCTCCTGGCTGTGTGTATGGGGAGGGCTCTGGTGAACAGGGACTCCGCCAGCAGTGGTGAGCCCTCCCTCCCTTCCAGAAAGCTGATCCCTTGCCCTCCGGGGCCCCTACCCTTTCCCCACATTCTCATTCTCAGGGCTGGAGCTCCTGTCTTCTCCCTGCTTCTCCCCACCCCAGACCCACCCAGGAGTTTGGACAGCCTTCATTTATTGCAGGTTATTTCAATGTGAACTGAAGATGCATTTGTACGATTGACAACACATTCTTACCTCTTTTTTGTCATGAGCAGGTATATGATTAAAATATTCGCAGGCTTGCCAAAATAAGATATTTTCTTCACTAAATTCCTTCCGTAAAAACTCCTAGTTGCAAAGAATAATTAAAAATCACATTGATATAAAATGTCCAACAATACTCCAAAGCCCGCGAGATCTCAATTCCAGGAACTTCTTCCATGGAAAATAGGCTAGGCCTTGCATCTCTTTCAAGGTATGTGTTGAGACCGGGTTTGGGGAGACCCAGGTTCAAGTCTGCTGGTGGGACACAAAGGCTAATTGAAGTGAAATAACAAGAGAATTAAGCACAGCCATTATGATTATTCCTCCTGTGGCAGCTTTTGGAAGAGTTATGAGGGCACCATTCTTGTGGCCCAGAAGGAGACAGCAATTACTCGACCACGCACTAGCTCAAAATGGAGGAAAATCAAGAGGGTTGAGCTCAATCTGTCCACTTCCTGGTGCAAGGGATTAAGCTGCGGGAGCAAAGTGGTTTCTCTCCTCAAACAAGCCCCCTCCCCCAGAAAAGATCTAGACAGTCAACCGCATCCAGAAATTCTTGAAGCTATGAAGCTCCACATACTTTGCCCAGACAAGCATGATTTGAGATTATTATACTTATTTGGGGCCAAAAAGAATACAACACCCCAAGCTTATGGATGTTTTTTCCAACCAAGATCCTAAGTCCCTGGGCACAGCACACATCCTTCATTTGTAGGAAGCCTTGGATACTCTTGAAGGCTTGCCACTCCCGTTCAGCCTCAAGGCCTGCGAGGTCAGGGGAGACTGGCGTAGAGGAACCGTTGGGGAGGCCACAGGCCCAGGCCGGCCATTTTATTCAACCACAGGATAATGCTGCCACAGGTATCACCAGGATTTGGTTGTCAATTTTAGTTAAACAGTATTCAGTGCACTTTGTTTTGGTTAATACAAAACCAAAACTATAGTTTAGTTATTCTCCATTGCTTACAGAGAAATATCGAATACCAAGGGGATCCTGAAGAAGTCGTTCAAATGAAACAGCCCAACTGGCAACTCTTCTTTCTCGGTGCCGTTGGCAGCTCTGGACACTGGGCAGGCTGGCATTGCTGCTGAGACTGGTATCACTGGCACCATCTTTCAAGTCACTGTGATTGAGCTCTGTGGTAGCAGCAGAGAACAAATTAATCTGGCAATAAATCTGTGGCTGCATCAACCTTTCTGAAGTTGAAAACAATGAAATCTCTCTTTTACCACAGGGAGAAAACAAGAAAGGCAGCAAGGGACTGTGGATCAAGATGCATCTGTTAGTAATGCAAAGTCCAGTGCTCAACAACCTTCATTGTACATCACCACCTACTCTCTACTGCATATCTTTGGATGAATAGCAGTTATTAATGTATTAATTTCTACAACCCTAAATGTTTCAATAACCCCTCTCGCCAAAAGAATTTAAAGATATTTCCGGTATTCCAACCATTATTTTAAGCGGATAGTAGGTTTATAAACAGTATTTTTGAATGCTTATAGAATTTACAAGTTTTCTAGGCCTAACTTACTCACTTGCAAAATCATATCCAATGCTTCTGTCCCATGGTTCTGAGCAGCTTGACTTCTCTCAGTATGCGAAATGCATAATACATTGGCTCTTCCAGCTCTACATTAGTAATATTTAAATGGTGTGATTGAAAACACACCATCAAAAGAACAATTTATTACGTGCATGTTCTAGCTTTAGATCAGTGCCAGATCAAATCAAGAGACTGTATACGGATTCAGGGGGTCTCTGAACTGAAAAGGGGTTCCTGCAGAGCAAGCAGATACTGAACTAAGGCCATCTTCAAACTCACTGAGAAGCAGGCAACCTGCCTGCAAATCATACTTTGTTCCAAGCTCCCCACAGGAAGGAAAGTGCTTCGAAGGACAAATGTTCAATACATTGTACGGCTGTCTGAATGGTATAGATGGTGTATGGAAGGGCCAGGTTCAAATCTCATTGGATGACTTGGGCTAATATCGACTTCTCAGCCCAATCTATCTCAAAGGGTGGTTGTGTCTCCAACAAAAGAGTGCCCTTAATTTTTAGGAGGTAACAGAGGGATTAGGTTATGTGACCCCCAAATGCCACTGTCCCTGTGCAAAGGCAAAGAGTAGGGGGAACAAACAGGAAAACGTCAGAGCTTTAAGGCAGGAGGGAGAATATGGGTTCATAGAAACCTGATGGGATGACTCTCAGGAGTGAAATGCAAGGCTGGAAGTGCGGAACACATTCAGAATGAATATGCTGGACTAGAGGGGAGCAGGAGGAGGAGCATCATATATCAAGGGTTGGCACACACGCTGGGATCCAGCAATCTGAGCATTTGAGTTAAGGATACAGGGAAGAGGAAACAACAGAAATATTATTGCGATGTTGTGTGTAATGATATAGACCACCAAGACAGGGAGATGACTTCCTGGTCCGGATTACAGAACTTTCAGGAGTGAGAGACTTAGCAATGCTGCAGACATCAACTACATAGAGAACTGTTGGAAAAGCAACTTGGCCAAGACTGCAAGGTCCCCCAAATTTCTCAGTTGCCTTGCTTACTCTTTCATTTTCCAAGATTGCTGAATTAAAAAACAAAGGAATCAGCTCTACTAGATCTGGTGGCAACCAAAAGGGAAAGCCTGGGTCACAGGGAACATACAGTGGTAACTTTAGGAAAATGTGACCATGTCATGTTGTGGTTCAAGATATTACAGAAAGAGAAACTGGAGCAGATGCATACATGCATGCCAGATTTCAGAAGAGCCAATTTCAACAAGCCTAGAGAAGCAGTAGGCAGGATCTCTTGGAGAGAAATCTTCAGATCAAATGGAGTGCAGGAGGGCTGGGAACTTCTCAAAAATAAGATACTGGAAGTTCAACAGCACATTATTCAAAAATAGGGGTCAGTTTAGGAAACTATTATGGATGTACAGAGGACTGAAGAACAGGAGGTGGGAAAAGAGCTGATGTTCCTATCTTCATAAAGGGGAAACAAGAGGGCCTGGGTGACTGCAGACCAGTCAGCTTGACATCAGTACAGGTAGTCCTTGACTCACAATGGCTATTGGGACCAGAATTGCCATTGCTAAGTGACACGGTCATAAAGTGTGATGTCACGTGACTGCATTGCTTAGCAACGGCAGTTCTGACAGTCCCGGTTGCCATCATTAAATGAGGACCGTGCAGGTCGTTAAATGAGGACTTCACATGACCGCAACCTCCAACTTCCTGCAAGCTTCTCTACTGACTTTGCTTGTGGGAAGTCGTCAAGGAACACTGGAGATCACATAACTGAGGGGATGCTGCGATGGCTGGAACTCTGAGGACCAGTCATAAGTCCCCCTTGTTCAGTGCTGTTGAACGGTCACTCAACAAATGGATGTAATCCAAGGACTACCTGTACCAGGCACAATGCATGGC